TATCTCGTTCACCACTCTATTCCCAGCATTTAGCACAGTGACTGGTATACAGCAGGAGCTCCATAAATATTTGCTGAATGAATGATTGCATATTAAATGAACAGCTGCAGTGTCCTTATGGCTTCAGGGGCCTTCGAGACCCTCTTGCCGCCCTGCTCCCTCCCTGGCCACCTGCTCAGTGAACAAACCTCCTTCTGCACAGAACAAAGCCAAAGCTGATGGCACTAATCACTGCCAACGGTTCCGAACACTAACAATGGGAACAGCCCTTTGCTGAACTCTTGGCACACATTATCTCATTAAACCTCAAAACAATCCAAGAGGTGTACCCTGATGGTTCCTATTTACAAGGGATGACACTCTAGAACAGAGATCACAGGACTTGTCAAGGTCACACATGGGAAGTGCTAGGATCAGGATTTGAACTGAAGACATTTGATTTCAGAGTCCATACTCTTAACCATTATGCCAAAAATATGGCTTCCCAGAAGGGAGACCCAGAGCTTGACTTTCACCCCAAGGAAGTCACTAACTCATTTCAGAACTTTTCTTGAGCACAGGCTCATGCGAAGGCAGAGGGAGCAGTACTGGGGCCTAGACATAGAGGGGATATTAGAGGGATGGCCCAGTTTGCTTCCCTTCCTCCCTACTTTGGGATCCCCAGATCCTGACAGCCTGGGGGGAATCCCATGCCAGATCATCTCCCACTAATTGGCTTAGCAAACCATGCTTATCTGGGCAAAGCTGAAGCCCAGTGAATTCAAGATTAGGGAAAGCAGGATTCATGGCTTACCGCTCTGCTGCCCACTGGGTCAGAGGAGACAGGGTTAGGACTTTAATTGGCTTAATAACTATGAGTGGCTTAATAGCTCAGAGGGTTGGTGGGGGTGGGGGGCGGGGGGAACAGGGAGGGATGAAAACACAGGTTGGTGCCCAGCCCACAGCCAGCTTCATGTCCCACCAAATGATCTGTGTGCTCTTTTTTCGGGGGGGTCAATCTGTCTCTGTACATGGCCACTGCTCTGGGACCCCAGTGCTGCCAGTGTGGTGGTGTCAGGGAGAGATCGTGGGCTTGGGAGTTGGGCAAAACTGAAATGGCACCTCACCTTCCCCCAATTCCTTAGTGGGTAACCTTGGACAAGTTACTTGACTTCTCTGAGTCTCACTATTATGTCTGATAAATGGGTATATCAATTGACAACAGAGGGACAGTTTCAGGGTAAAATGACATCATGTGCCTGGGGCACCTCACATGGGACCACCTGAGACACAGTGTTCATGAATTTCTTCCCCTCCTCGCCCTCCTCAGAGCCCCATTTTGTGTTTAAAATAATATAAACACCCATTTTGCAGGGTTGTTTGGGGGTAGAATAAGAAAGGACCATATCAACTGTGAAGAGCTAGACTAGAGGTCACAAAGATGATAGGCCCACAAACGTGTTTCTTTTGGTTGACATTATTTTTAAAAATCTTAATTAGTAGTTGAAAATTGGGAAAATTCAAACAAAAATCCCAATTTCCCATTTCTTTTGATAAACAAAACTTGACAATCCCGGGTCCATAATTTCTCATGGCACCCTCAACTGGAGGTGGGTAGTGGCTTCCCTTTCTCTAGGACACTGCTTACCCCATAATGTCCTCTCTCTCTTTTTTTTATAATAATTATTATTTTTTTTAATTTTATTGGGGAACAGTATGTTTTTCCAGGATCCATCAGCTCTAAGTCAAGTAGTTGTCTCAATCTAGTTGTGGAAGGCACAACTCAGTGGCCCATGAGGGGATCGAACCAGCAACCTTGGTGTCATGAGCACTGTGCCCTGCGCTCTAACAGGGCTAACCGGCTGTCCCCATAATGTCTTGGCTGACATGCATGTACTGACACAGGTGAGTGTCACCTGGCCCCTCAGAATATTTAAGCTTTTGATCCAGCATTGTACAAGCATGAGGAGTTGAAAGACATCTTTATGACTCAAATGATTTTATTCAGAATGGGGGGGGGGGCGTGGGATCAGGAGGTGAATGACTGGCCAGTCTCCCAGCTTTGACCCCGGAAGCCTCAGACACTCATCTCCTTCCTCATTATCTCAGGGTCCACCATTCAGAACATCTGCACCAAATCTTGCTGAACCGTGATCTTGCTCACGGTAGGAACATTTCACATGGTAAGCAAACATGTTGTGCCAACAGTGTTTAATTTCTAGGAATGCCAGCCCTGCTGGCTTCTCCATACCTTGTCTGGATTTTTCTCCATTTAGCCAGACCCTCAGCCATTTTAGAAGCCAAAGCTTTTGGGACCAGCTCTGATCATTAGCTCTGATCATTAGACCCAGAGTCAGGATTCCAGAAAAGGGAGGGCTCTTAAGGTCATCAAATCTAACATTCTCATTCGACATACAGGGAAGCTGAGGCCCAGATGTGGGCAGAGCCTAGTCCAAGGTCCCCTAGCAAGCTAGTTACAAACCTGAATGAAGACGTAGGTCTCCTGATCCACTGCCCCCAATCCAGCACTTTCCCCACAATATATGCTGTCTTCCCATCCTTACCCACATAGTGCAACTCCCTCCCCCTCCTTTCACGTTCTTATCTCAGTGCAGCAGAAGCCCTGACTTTCTATCATTCTGGAATCTTGGGATCTCAGACTCATAATTCTTTGAGCTTGGGGGACACGTTAGTGGCAGAATCGCAGGGTGTATAAATTGAACTTGTGCTCTGAAGGCAAAATCTTGAGTCCCAGCTCGCCTACTCCCTAGCTGTGTGACCTTGGGCAAGGATGCCCCCCTTTCTGAGCCTCCATTCCCTCATCTGTTAAGTAGGGATGATACTACAACCACATCAGAGGTTTCTTAGGAAGGATACAGAAGATGAAACGTAAAAAGGCACCCAATAGGCTTAGCACAAAGTGAGTGCTTAATAAAATAATTGTTATAAAACTGTAAATCAGAGCTGTCATGCCCCTAAAACTTAAGTGAAATGGTCCAGATGTGATCAAAGGAAATGGAACTGGACAAACTGGAGCACGTATACCCTGTCTAAATTGTTACAGGCCAGATACCGCTAGATTCCTTTCTTTGTTTTTCAAGAGAAGCTAGGACTTCTGGAATTTTGAAATACTATACAAGCCAAACAAAATGCTTCTGTAGGCCAGGTTCAACCTAAGGGCCATTAGTTTGTCATCCCTGCAAAAGCATTTCATCCCAACCCCCTCACTTTGCAAATGGGGCAGAGTGGAAAGAGCTAGGCCTTTTAACTAAGGAACCATGGAGCTCAATGGACCCTCAGCCCTCTCCAGCCACTCTCCTGAGACCGCTACTCCCACCCCATGGTCATTTTTTTTTAACCTGTTTGAGGGAAACTCAATTTATGTTCAAGAAAGAAGTATTAGTTTCTTGTAAGTTGATTCTGAATGAGGGGAAGAGGGGTGTTTGAGGTAGCCAGTGAGTCGAGGGGCAGCTGGCCCACTTTAGGCTGAAGGGAAAGGGGAATGAAGCTTTGGCTACCAAGAATAGGAAGTTACCATTTCAGAATCTAAAAATATCTTTCACCATCTGTCCACTTGGGCACAGAATGATAAATGCAGATTAGTTCCTGGATGTAGACATGAATATTTTTATGTGTCAAGCTAATAATAATAACACCACCTTGTGTGGATACAACTCCATCCCATTTTACCCCAGGACAAGCTAAATGGAATATACACATCGATCTAGGCAAGGCACAGATGGGGGAAACCAAGGCAGAGAGAGATTAGGCAACACAGCAAGGGTGACACAGCAAGTGAGCAGCTGGGACAAACCCTGGGTGTCCTGTTTCCAACCCTCAGCCCAGAACTGAATCTTCTGAGTTAGGCAGAACATGTTAACAAGTAGCAGAATAAATACAAGAACAGCAATAATCACCCTTTACATCTCTACCAGGACTTTGACTTTTTCCATGCTTTCCCCACATCTGTGATAACAATGATAATCTACTACATTCCTAAAAATATGTTACAGTCTGCAGGGCCTTCACACAGAGCTGACCACCTCACCAGGTATGAAAAAAAACGTGAATGGTAGACCAATGAGATGAGAAGACAGGGATTCTCCCACATTTCACAGGTGAGGAAACTGAGGCTTGGTGGGAGGAGGGGTTCCGCCTAAGATTACACAGTAGGCAAGTTCATTCTGTCAGTGCACCGTAGAGCCTAAGCTACTAGAGCAATCCTAGGTTCAGAATTCCCCATCTCCAAGGAACTCAGCTCAGCTCAGCAGGCACCATCCATCCTGGCAGAGGAAGAAGCCTAGAAGTTAGTGGGCTGCTTGTACAAAGCCTCAGTTTTGGTCTTACTGTCCTGGGATTAAAGGACAGCTAGTGGCCAACAAATGTGAGATACAAGATCCCAAATCCCCTTGGCCCTGTTGAGGTGGTGGTGGTGGTGGTAAAACTGGGGGAATCCTAAGAAACAGGAGCCAGACAGCTTCTTGGCTGGCCCAGCAAACCCTTTCCCAAAAGTCCAAAAAGTTTGGGCAGGATATTCATTTAGCTTCCTCGAATTCCGTATTTCTCCTGGGAAGGTGGGAATAGACTGCAATTCTGAACTGAATCTTTGAGAGCAAGGAAGGACTTCTGAGATCTTTTCTAAACCCAGGCTCAGCATTCAGGCAGAAAGGAGTGGGTCAGGGCTGGAGGGAGCCCTGGGGCCTTGTTCTAAGCTTTATACTCATCCTTATCAGCCCAGGGCCCTCCTCATTCATGCCCCTAAGGATCTCTTTCTCTCTTCTGACCCCGTCCCTTCCTTCCTCAATGCCCAGATCAGAGAGAATAGCACTGGGGTTGGTCAGAGTTCCAGGGCAGAGGTCAGGGAGGCAGAGAAAAAAAATCAAAGCTGCAACAGGGTAGGGCGGGGCGGAGGTCAGGACAGAGGGGGGCCTGGAGAGGTCCGAGCAGGACTGGGACGGCAGCCAGACCCTCGCCACCCCCCACTCCTCGGAGTCAGCTCCCTCCACCTGCACTTCTCCTACCTCCAGACCTGGCCGAGCTGCAGGAGGTGGACGAAGGTCTGCAGCAGCCAGACGCAGAGGCGGCAGCAGCGGCGGCGGTAGGCGCTGGCCGAGGAGGGCGCGGGCCGGGGACCCAGCTCGGGACTGCCTTCTTTGGTCCGGAAGGCGACGGGGCTGTCCTTGGTGCTGATGGAGGGCCCGCCGGTGCCGCTGTCCTTGGTGCTGACGGCGGGTCCCGGGGCCCCCGCGGGCTCCGTGTAGTCGTACACGAACCAGCGGAAGCTGAGCAGCTGCACTACAAGCGAGGGCAGGAGCACGAACAGCAACGTGAGGACGAAGTAGGTATGCTGACCGTGCAGGTAGTAGGAGGCCGCCAGCCACAGGTCCGTGGCGCCGTCGGAGAAGAACACAAGCAGCGCGCACAGGACCCAGCAGCAGTCCCGCAGCTCGTAGCGCGGTCCCGACCCTCCCTCCCCGGTCACTCCCGGGCCCCCAGCCGCTGCCGCCGCCTCCCCGCGCCCGCCCGTACTGCCCCGGGCTCCTCCGGACGCCCCCTCCGGCCCCGGGCCGGCCGCAGCCGCCGCTCCATCAGACTTCGCGGCCATGTTGGCGGAGCAGGAGGCGGGGAGCGACTTCCGGGAGGCGGAGGGGGTGGGGTGCGGAGTGGGGAGGACCCCACCGGGTGGCTCCCGCCTCCTCCTCTTCCTCCTCTTCTTCCTCCTCCCCTCTACTTCAATTATTCATTCTCCTCGGCGCCGCTGTCGTCCCTCCCCCAGCCTGCCTGGGCTGTGGCCGGGTCGGGAAGACCCCTGGGAAGGGAGATGGAGAAGGAAGGGAAGAGCATCCCGGGTCGCCCTCTCCTTCCTTCCTCGGAGGTCTGGGGCCCCAGCCACATGCTCTGCCTCTCACTCCCCACCCCACTCCACTTCCTTTCTCTTTTCTTCACTTGCCCCCCCTCCAACCTCTCCTTTTTCCATTTATCTCCTCTGTTTACCTCTGGTGGCCTGGATCTGAGGAGGGTGGGGGACCCAGAACTTGGAAGTAAGGGGTTGCTTAGGCAGACACCCCAGTCACCCTTTAGCAGTCACTTGATGCTAACAGGCCACGTCCTAGTTTCCAGAGTGTTCACATATTGTTCTATCCCCTTCTTTGATCTTGAGAGGTCCCTTTTCTTATTGTCTTTTTCTTATTGTTTTGAAGCTGAGAAAAGTGCAGCTCTGAGAGTTACCATCTCTTCCCCACTCTTCCCTTTCTCTCCTCAAGGACTGCCTTCATCTAGCCACAGCCCTAGTAGAGTAAGGGCGGGGAATGGGGCAACATCAGAGGGGAAGGGATGGGAGGAAACACCAGGCAGAGGAAAGAGCTAGAGCACAGGCCTGGAGGCTGGAGACTGGAGGGCATGTTTTCAAGGAAGTCAAGATCACAGATCTAGGGAGGTGGAAAGCTGGAAAATCTGGGGTTGGAGAGTTCTGAGGGATGAGATCCTAAAGGGCCAGAAGTGTGCTTTATCCGGGAAGCAATGGGGAACCACTGTAGAATTTCAGCAGTGGGGTAATGTGATCAAGTCTGGATTTTAAAAGAAGACCCTGCAGCCAGAGGAGAGAAGTGTTCACAGCAAAGCAGCCTGGGGGTGGACAGACCAGAGGGAGAATATGACAGTAATCCAAAAGAAGGGGTAGGGTTCCTCATATGAGGATACCCCCAATTCCCCACCCCTGCACCCCACTACCTCCACTTTGCTCAGAGTGGATGTACTAGGGCATTTAGTATACAAACACTCATAGAGCAGTTTCTCTTTGCCCAGGACTGTTCTAAGCACTGTACAATTACTCATTTTATCCTCACAATTTGTGAGGTAATTTACATTTTTTTCCTCCCATTTTACAGATGAAGAAACTGAATCACAGAGGAGTTAACTCATTTGTTCAGAGTCACACAGTACAGCCAAATTCAAATCCATAATCTGGCTCGAGAATAGGTTTTGCTACCTCCCTAGGATACTAGGAGAGTTAGGTGAGGAGAGGGAAGAAGAGGGGAGGAGGGGAGGTTTGAGGACCACTTTGCCTCAGAGTGGCAGGGAAGGGAAGACGAAGGAAGACAGCTGCCCTGGGTCAGGAAGGAGTAACCATCTGCGCTCCTACGGCCCAGCATCCCTTTCGTGTCTGGGGACTGTTTTGGTCCCAGCAATGCTCAGGAGGTTGCAATGCCAGCTGTTGCCCAAGGCTGAAAATGGAGGAGGGAAAATTAAGGATCAAGGGAGTTTTCCAGGCTCAATTCAAAGCTGACAGTCTCTATCCACGGGCATGTGTAGGCTAGTGGGAGTTTTTGTTGGTTGGGTTGGAGGGAAGTCTGAATCCCAATGTGATTTAAGCAGGAGCAATATCTCTTTTTTTTTCTTTCTTTCTCCCCTACAACCTTAGGCTTGGAGACTCATGGAGTGCACAGAGCCCTGGGCAGAGGGAAGATCTGACCCCAGACCTCCTTATGACCCTGGGCCAGTTCTGCATGTGTCTGGATCTCTGCCTTCTTACAGGTGCCTGGATGGGGCCTGACAGAATTAGGTTCTCACCTCTGCCCGCCTTCACCCTCACGGAGGGACCCCCTGTACCTCCCATGCCTCTTAATCCCAGTATCAACCTGCTCAAACAGGCAGTTGAAGACACACTTTTATGTCTGAGACTCTGGAACCAGGAAACCTAGGTTCAAAACCTATTTGCCCCTTCCTGGTTCCATGACCTTGAACAAGTCACTCAATTTCTCTTAGCTTCAGAAAAGGAAGGAAAATGAAGAGGAGGGTGGTAACCAGTGCTTTCCTCCTAGGGCTGTGGTGAGGATAATTAATACTAAGTATTAGCTAGGGTGATGTCTCCCACAGGAAGTCCTCATGGATTTCCCACCCAGCTGTGCCCTGCTCCCTATCCCTCCTGACACTCCCCTGTTATGAGATTCCATGACACTTTAATCTTTTCCTTCTTGACATCAGTACACTAGCAGTTTATCTTTTTGTGTTTATCTACTTGGAATTGCCTGGGAACTCCATGAGAGTTGGGACAATTCTTTTTTTTCTTTCTTTCTTTTTCACAGAGGGGAGGGGGCTCAGTCCTTCTTGGCCACCAGGACATGACTCAGTTCCTCTCTCCTCTTGACATAGATGTGTGTGTCCCCACCCTTTTCTTGATGAACTTGAGGGCCTGCTTGTCCTTTGAGACCTTGAGCAGCACACTGGCGTGCTGCTCATATACGGCGAAGTTGCACACCTCTCAGATCATGTCCCTGACAAACTTGAGGTGCTCAGTGAGGCACCACAGCGGTGGCTGTGCCTCTGCTTGCTCACGTTCATGTGGCCTTTGTTGTGGTCCGTGGTCATGGAGTAGCACAGAGCGCTGCCAAGGTGGAATGATTAATGTATTTTCCTCACCTACAAGTCGCCGAGCACCCAGTGCTGTGCCTGGCACTCAATAGGTATTCTATAAAAATCATTGAATGAATGAATGCATGATCAACCTTATGAAATAGGTTCCATTTTATAAAAAGGTAACTGCTTCAGACAAGAGCAGTGACTTATAGAATTAACAATTCCTCTTATGTCAAGAGCTGTGCTAATAACGTTACAGAGATTACCACATTATCCTCAAACCAGTCATTTTGGGGGTGGAGAAACTGGGACTCGGGGAGGTGCTGTCACTTGCCCAAGGCCATTAGTGAGGAAATAGCAGAGCTGGCAACAGGGACAGATGACACAGAGGAAGGATTTGGTGGGGTATCTAAAGTGTGGGTCAGGTGGAAGTGACCCACTTGTCAGTGGCATTGTAGGTGGGACACTGCCCTAAGCAGTTTGGACTAGTATGTTCTGAGTAGCCTGAGATCAGAAATCAGAGATTCAGACTAGAACCAATAAGGAAGTGCAGGAGTAGTGTTCCACTGGGGGGCATAGTTGGGGACAGAACAGCTTGGGCAACGGCTCTATAATGGGGCTGAGCCAGGTTCATTCAAGGGCTAAGATGAGGCTGGGTCTGACTGGTGTGGTGGTAGAAGGTGGACCACAGCTAGTCAGAAATGGACAGGCCCTTTGAGATCTCTTCCAGTTCCCTGAGCCCCTCTCTAATTTTACTGGGGATACTGGGGCCCAGAGGAAAGTCCCATGTCTATTAACTGGCAGAAGCAAATCTGGGAGCCTTTCCTTAGTCCCCAGGGACGTGGTCTCAGGGCTTTGTTAGGAATCACTCTTGGGAACAGCCCTCAACACATTTCCTCAACAGACTGAGAGCTCAGTCTGTGCTTACTGCACCCTCAGCTTGGACCAGTTTCTAATAATATTCCTTTAGTTCCTGTGCAAACTATACATGAGATAATCAACACAGCATTGTTTATAACAGCAAATATTGGGGACGACCCAAATGCCCATCAGTAGGGGACTGGCTAAATAAATCAGGGACTTCCTGACAACGAAATAGCATGTGGCAGTAAAGAAGGTGAGGAAGGTCTCCTAATATAGAGAGGCTTCCATGGGGAAAAGCAAGGGACAGCACAGGAGACAAAGCTGAGTGAAAAGGGGAAATAATAATCTATATTTATATTTGTTTGTATATGTGTAAAGAAACTTTGGAAGTATACGTGAGAAAATGAGATTACTAAAGGGGGCACTGGGCAGAAGGGGAACAAGGATGGGAGGGAGACTTCGTTACATGCCAACTTACAATTTTTTTGGAATCGTGAATGTATTTACCTATTAGTAAAATAATATAATAATGGCGACAGCTGCTACTCAGCTACTGCTGAATGCTGTCATATGGGAATAGGCAGTTGGTATGGTCAGATTTTCAGATTATTCAAGAGAAGTCAGAAATCTGGATTGTATTGTAAAATCTCTTGATTTTTAAATGTTGTTCCCATTTTTTTTCTCAAAACACTTTTCAGGCCAAGTAAATAGGTCAGTGGGTCAGACACAGCCTGAAGGCCACCAGTTTTCAGCCTCACTGTTAACAGCTTCCTGCTCCCAGGGCTGGAGTTCTCAGCATCCTAGGTCTCTACCCCCAAGTGGGCAGCTGCGGGTCAGAAAAGTGCCTTGTTCTGCCCCTCTCCTGGCACCCTCCAACCCTTGTCCCTTGGGACTGTGACATTTGGGGCTTTTAACTCAAGATCTGCAAGGCAGAAAGGGGTTATGAACTCTCAGATAATTTTCTCTCTTGGGGCCCTGCAGGCGTCGAGGCCCAGCTGCTTTCTGCTGCCCACCCATCTGTCCCTGGGAGGTGGGGACATGAGTGGGGCTGGCAGTGATGGGGTGGGCAGGAGTTGCTGCTCTGAGCCTCAGATCATCGGGCTCTGTCAAGACGCAGAATCCAAGAGAAGAAGCCGAGAGATTGTGAGAAAAGAAAAACAGGCTTGGCTGCACCTACTTGATATGTGCTGAGATAATCTACCAAATTACAAAATGCCAGAACTGGAAAGGCCCTCAGGGAACATCTCATCCAACCCCTTCATTGCACATACTGCCCCAGGCCATGGCCATGTCACCTCTCTCCAGGACAACTGGATTGTACTGGCCTCTTCGTTGTGTTCCCTGCAGCCCTTCTTCCCTCCTAATGTTCCATCTCCACCATTAGCCAGGGGGACCTTTTTATTTTCATTTTTTATTATTTTTTTAAATTTACATTTATTTTTTAAAGATTTTTATTGGGGAATTGGGGGAGGGAAACAGGCAAATTGCTGTCCTTTGGTTCTTCAGTCTAGTTGTGGAGGACGTTGCTTCACTGGCCCATGTTGGTATTATCATTGCGCTCTTCCCGGG